GGATGACTGGATTGGAGGCTCTCATACAATATCAGAAGGCAAACAAAATATATCAGAAATGTATTCGATGTTAAAATCAGGAGGATTTTTGTTAAGAAAATGGATTTCAAATCATCCAACACTTTTAGAAAGTTTAAACATTAGGCAAGATAATGAAAATGATCATTTTAATTTCAAAACAGATAATATGTCAAAAACATTAGGACTCCGGTGGCTTCCAGAAGAAGATATATTTATATTTAACAGCAATTTTTCTGAGATATCATCAAAAATTATAACTAAAAGAATACTACTCAGCGAAATATCAAAAATATTTGACCCTTTAGGGTGGCTTGCCCCTCTTACTACAATGCTTAAGTTGATATTCCAACGAGTATGGCTAACAAAATTAAAATGGGACGAAGAAGTTCCGAAAGACATTAGCAATGAGTGGCATAAGGTCCGTTACGAATTAAATCATATTAATCAATTTCGAATACCGCGGTGGATAGGATTCCGTGAGGATTGTCTTATCGAATTACACGGATTCTCAGACGCGTCCATGAAAGCCTACAGTTGTGTATTATATGCAAAGGTAAAAAATGGAGAAAAATCAAGTGTAAGATTGATCACTGCCAAAGCAAAACTTGTGCCGCAAAAGAAAATATTATCATTACCAAAATTAGAATTGAGTGGCGCTCATTTGCTCTCAAAATTAATTAAAAAGGTCATGAAATGCCTGGAACCCTATGAAAATATAAAATTATACTGTTGGTGTGACTCTAAGGTAGTATTAGGTTGGTTACAAGGTGACCCATCCCGCTGGAAACCCTTTGTAGCTAACCGAGTTCGTAGCATAAGCGAAATAATATCACCAAACAGCTGGGATTACGTAAGCACGGGCGATAACCCTGCGGATGCCGCAAGTCGTGGCCTATCGGTCGCTCAGACGAAAAATCACGATTTATGGTGGAAAGGACCGCAGTGGCTTCATCATTTTGAAGAGAAAAGACATCAAGAGAAAAAGAGTTATACAACAGATCAGGAAATAAAAATAAGAAATGTGAATATTTTACAAATATCAGAGCCACATATTATAAATCGTTTATTAGAAAATAATAGTTCATTTAATAAAGTCATACATATAATTGCTTACATAAGACGGGCACTTATACCTACTCATCGACGTAAAACAATAACAATACCAAGCTATATCACATTACAAGAATTACGCGAAGCAAAAAACATTGTAATTAGATTAGTACAAAAGGATCATTTTAGCATCGACATAGAGCAATTAAAACAAAGCAAGGGCTTAAAACCAAAAAGCATTTTACATCATTTAAATCCCTTTATAGATAGCGAAGGAATTTTACGTGTTGGAGGCAGATTAGCTAACGCAGCAATACCAGAACATATGAAGCATCCAGCAATTATTCCATACGATAGCAGATTTACCACTTTAATCATCGAACAAGCACACAAACTTACCTTTCATGGTGGACCACGGTTGACCCTTGCTAATTTAAGAAAACAGTTTTGGATCACGAGTGGTATCCGAGCTGTAAAAAAGCAAATAAGAGCATGCATCATCTGTAGAAAACACAAACCTGAAATGCAGCAGCAACTAATGGGTGATCTTCCAGCTCCCAGAAGTAATCCTCAGCGTTCATTTTATCATACCGGCGTTGACTATACAGGTTATGTACACATCAAAAGCAATAAAGGTCGTGGTACTAAAACGACTAAAGGCTATATAGCAGTCTTCGTCTGTTTAGTCACTAAAGCGGTTCATTTGGAACTAGTGTCCGACATGACCAGCTCAGCATTCTTAGCAGCTCTTCGACGGATGGCAGCGAGAAGAGGTGCACCTCATCATATGTATTCGGATCAGGGAACGAATTTTATAGGAGCAGACAGATTTTTAAAAGAAAATTATGAACATCTGCGTCAAGTTTTTAGTGACACTTTTATAGCAGAAGTTACAAGTATGAATATAGAATGGCATTTCAATGCCCCATCTTGGCCAAATGCTGGTGGCTTATGGGAGAGAGCAGTGCGTAGCTTAAAATTCCATCTTAAGCGCATCATTGGGGAGCAAAGATTAACGTTTGAGGAATATAGCACTCTCCTGAGTCAAGTGGAAGCTTGCTTAAACACAAGACCCTTATGTGCACTGTCAGAAGATCCAGAAGACCTCGACATTTTAACACCAGCACATTTTTTAACAGGTTACTCAGGGTTGACCGTAATCGAAACTGAGCACGATGCCAGAACGCGGTGGCATTTAATATCAAAAATAGTAAAAGATTTATGGAAGCGATGGAAATCAGAATATTTATTACAATTATCAGCACGAAGCAAATGGACAAAATCAAAAGAAAATATCAAAATAGGAGACTTAGTCATAATACAGGATGAAAATCTTCCCCCTGGGAAATGGGCAATGGGGAGAGTAATGGATGTTCACCCTGGAAGGGACAATTTCGTTAGAGTTGTAAGCTTAAAAACAAAAAATGGGATCATTAAGCGACCAGTAAATAAATTATCTATTTTACCGTTAAGTTACGAAAACCTTGACAGCCCTAATCAAAATTCACGAAACGAAAATATCAGTAAAAAAGGAACAAAATATTCCCTAGCCACAATTTTCACCACACTATTATTCTTCATGACATTGATTACAACAGCAACAGCTCAATACAGCATATCACAGTTTCCGAATAATCAATCGGTGTACTTTGACCCTATATCAAAAATCAAAATAATTCGAGACCAGTGGAAATTAGTCGTCTATTATGACATGGGTCCCTACTGGTCAGGATTAGAAGCATATGATAAATTATCAACGTATTTAGATAAAACCTGTAATAAAATTGAAAAACAATCAAATTGTAATATGGTTTTACTACAACTGAAACACACCTATCAAGAAATAAAATACTACAATCATCTTTTGCTAAACCAGCATTTTTACGAGCACGCTAGACGTCGCCGGCGCCGGGGCCTTATTGATGCAGTTGGTAACATAGCAAATAGCCTTTTTGGAGTACTGGATAGCAAATTCGCCGAAAAGTACGCTCAAGATATCAATATTATAAAAAATAATGAAAAGCATTTAAACAGCCTCTGGAAAAACCAAACCTCTATAGTGGAAGCAGAGTTTAATTTAATAAAACGCATGGAAAGCACTATAGAAAAACAACACAAAATAATTCATAAACAACTTAACGGATTGGAAGCCGCAACAAACGTTTTACAAACTGAAATAGTTAATTTAAGTACAATACAAGACTTTACATTGGCAGCATTCACTGGCAGTAATCTACTTCAGACTCTAAAACAACTTCAAGAAACCCTGCTAAATACAATCACCTACATTTATCACGGACAAATTAATCTTCACTTACTCACTCCTACGCAGCTTAAAACGGAGTTACAAATAATAAGCAGCCAAATGGCGAAAGATCTCACGTTACCTATCAATAGTTTATTGTTTAATATGCAACAGTTGTATAGGCTACTTAAAGTTAAAACAAGATTAACAAAAGAATACATAATTTTTGAGATATCAATTCCACTGGTAAGTCGAGATTATTATCAAATGTATAAGTTGATACCGATTCCTCATCAACAGAACGTAAAAATGATTAGCGTTACACTCATATCAGAATACGTAGCATTCAATATCCAAAGAGATTCGTATATAAACGTTGACTACAGTGAACTACAAACATGCTCTTTCATCGAAGATTATCAAATTTGTCAGTTTAAGCAACCGATCAATCATTTACTGTATGATGAAAATTTGTGTGTAAGAACAAATGAAAGCTTATTATCCAAATGTATAACTGAAAAAAGTATCTGCACTAATCAATGGATAGCATTGAATGAACCTTCACAATATTTTTATTTCACTTGTAATATTAACGCGATAAAGGTCGTGTGTGAAGATCAGGTTACAAAGCAACAGCTGAGCGGTGCAGGTATTATTAATTTGAATCAGAACTGTATTGTAAAAGGAAAAGAGTTTACATTACACCCTTTACAATATCATACAAACAAATTGTTCGTATCACCCAAAGTCGACACTCCAAAAATAGATCAAATTAATCACATTATACAATTAAGCATATCCACAACAGAGATTGAAAACGATGACGTATTAAATCAAACATTCACGGAAATTGGAAAACAATTAGAAAGTCTAAAAGCAAATGACAAAGAGCTAGATCTTGATGCTTTATCCCAGCACGATGTACACCAGTACGTCATTGGCTACATAGCAGTAGCAGCAGCAGTTGCCATAATTTTGACTTGGCTATATCGAAGTCGACGAATATGTTGGCCGCGGACCGCGCGGCCGAAGAACGCGACCAGCTCGAGAAGTCCGGGCGATATAAGATTGGAAGAGGTCCACTCCCAGCACGTAGTGTCCAGTGATAGTGTTCGTGATGTGAATAGAATGGCTTGTCAGCCTAGTGTAAGTGTAGTGCGCGAAATCGATCAGTGCGAAAGAGAAATTGTTGCCCCTCGCGGCAGTGCTAGTGTCAAACTACTTAATCGTTTACCGAGCATTAAAATGAGTGTGCGAATGAAGGACAAAGCAACATCGCCCCACACTAATAGGGCATTATTTAAGACTGAGTTATCTCAAACTGAATAATTTACTTTCATATTTTCTGTCTTTTGTTACTTTTATTTGATTTTATGTTTTAATTAAACAAATATCTACTAACCTAATTTAAGTTAACCTTGTTAATCACCTTGTAATCATACTAACACTATCATTTTTATCTAAGGCATCTTAAGCCGGCCCGGAATATGTTCGGTGCATTGCATTGATACCGAACACCGTCTGTGACGTCATTACAACGCGTCACAGAAACATATATTTTTAAATAATTTTAGTGTAGAATCAATCGCCGTAGGAATCGGATGCACTCATTATCATTTATCATTATCAGTTTAAGTTTATATAATAAACGTGTATTTCAGTACAAAAAACTATCATTTAACAATCAATTTAATTTATGTTCAAACCCGAAAACACTCGTGTCTAAAACTGTCAATCCATTGACAACTAGTTTCTTCGAGTTCTGATGACAAAATAAACTAGCCAAAGCTAAAATTAGTTTGCGAAAGAAGACAATAAGATATTATATTAATATTTTTGTTAGTTACCGTTTCCTTCATCTGTATCTGGTTGATCTTGATGCGGAAGAGTTTGTTGGTGAATTCGTTGTTGAAAGTGAACGTATCGGCGTCTTGCACCTCTCGTCCGCGCGGCCACTTGGTCAGTACACGAGCTTTACCACACGCCAGAGACTGTAGAGTGCGACGTAACTCGCCCTCCTAAATATAAACGAATCGATACACACTTGTCTTAGAAATTTGAGGTACAGTCAGCGTAGTAATTGCTTACTTGACACTTATTATAACAACAAATTTTGAAAAACTAATAGTATGAAGAAACCCTCCTTTCTGCGTAGAGACAGTGGGAGGCGACATTTTAGTAGAATTTTATGTTTAAAATAAATTGTGAATATATTTAAGTGAGTATAATTTATTTTTGCAAAAAAATACTAGCGATATACAATCTGTGGATTTTAAGAATCGAAACGCGGGCGGCAAAACGGAGCATCATATAACGTCACATTGCAATAATGGCTTTGTTGAGAGTGCAAAGAGTACTCATGCTTATTGAAATGTGACGTCACGGCTCGAAATGTCACATGACCGATTGTTTCCACAGGACAATTTAAAAGTTTTTTTTTTCTTATATAGATACATTGTAGTAGGATTTCGATAAATTATTATCTGTCTCTCTCAACTGGCGTATGCACGATAAAGGATATCTATAAACAAATCGATAAATCATTATTTAGGCTTTAACTAGCTAGGAGAACGATACATAGGGGTCAATATAAATAGTAGTAAATAAATATAAAAAGTAATAAACAAACCTCTATATTAGTATTAGCTTTAATTTCTTCAAACGAAAGATTGTCCCCGTCATTGAATAGTAGAAGAACGAGCGCTTGAAATAGTGATACCTGTAATTCTTTGTTACCCTGCAATCATAAACATAATACAGTTGTATAAAATGTTGCCATTTTTCACTACTGGCGAGTATATTTTCATCGGTATAATATTTTTTGTTGTTAGTGCGCTAATCCCCAACGTCCGATAGACTTGAAATTTTGCATAGATATGTAAGTCAGATGACAATGCAAAATTATGGTGTCAATAAGCTGATATGATGAAGTCGTATGGTGGTCATAGGAACTTAGCAATAAAATAACGCAACTGCTGGAAATGAGCGCGCAGGACAGCCGCGCCTCTGGCGTTGAAAAAAGAAACGTTGTTCGGATAAATTAGCCCGCGAAACCGCCTTTTTTTCGCCGTGCGAATTAAATATTGGAATCTACTCCAGAAGTGAACGGTTAATTGCCGGCTGTGCTTAAATACGAAAAAACACATTTGGATTGAATCCAGAGCTGTCTCTTTTTATTGCCATGTGAGCTGAACCTTTTAGTGAGTCGTAAATATTACTTATTACTTTTTGTCTTATTAAACTACAGTCCGATTAATTCTATACAACACTACGATAACGAGTTAATTTATAAAAATTGTATATTTTCGTTTTTTTTTTGCACACCTTACATGCAAACCAAAGTAGCTGTTTGATAGTACTATTCTTACATGGCTCATATTCCCCAAAACAACCAGCGTATTATAAAATATGAAAGCTTCAAGTCCTCACCTGCTTGTAAGTGATATTGATATCTTTAGACAGCTCCATATCCTTAAACATTCCTTCCAATTTGCAAGTGAATCCGCCCCCGCACTCCTGTTTCAATTTGCTGAGCATAGATTTCTCGGCGTCCACAGAGGCGGACTTGCCGACTAGCAGCCTCTTAGCCAAGTCTTTCTTGTAGAAAGCCTCGAATACGTCCTTGCCGTGTATAAATCTAAACAGTACCATAATCTTGTCTAATAACCTCTCCAGCTCCTCCTCCGTGGCCTCCTTGTTGCCGGCGCGTAATTTGACGTCGACGAATTTAGCTACGATTAAATGGAATCGAATATTAGTTAATAATAAAATTTATATTACTACCAGCAGTTTTCAAAACTATAGCGTAAGTCAACCCCGTATGATAGAGCTACCCGTAGATGAACGAATTTTTAAAATAGGTGTAGTAGTTTTGGAGCTTATTAGATGCAATCATCATCATCAGCCCTTTTACGTCCCCACTGCAGGGGCTCAGGCCTTCCTCATGGATGGTTAAGGAGGATAGGCCATGACCCTCCACGCTGGCCCAATGCGGATTGGAGGGTATTTACGACTGCAAATGCAGCCGGGACCAACGGCTTAACGTGCCTTCCGAAGCACGGAGTAGCTCTAGATAATAATTTTTTGGTTCTTTTGGTCATTAGATGCAAACAAACAAATAATAAAATCTCTCCACTTTATAAGTATAGATTATAAAAGGTGAACTTTATTTTCTTGCAGTTATCTTCGGTTCGGAATTACTGGGGCCTAATTATCTAATTTTAAAATCTATCGATATTCCTTTCAATTTAACATTTGAAAGATATTACCGAACTTCACTCTACAACTATTTGATATGTGACAGTGATTGCTATTTATTTAAAAGATGTTTAATAAACTATAACGTTAATTTGAAGTTAATTCGAATTGTTTAAGTCAAGCATTAGATGTACACATTGCTTTAAAAGCTATTGAGAAATGTGATTTGAATATCATTCTGCAACTGCAACTGCAAATTATAAATATAATTATTAATGTCACTTTAAATATTACATTATTCTATAAGCTATATATAATATTTACCTATAAGTTCGGCGGGTTTGTTCTGTCTTTGATTGATGAAGTGCTCGAACGCCTCTCTAACAGAGTAGGTGAATTTCTCGTTCCGCTGGAAGCAGGTGCCCACCACGTGGTCCAGCTGTTCCTTGAATTCCAGCAGTTCCGCCACCATGCTCTTGTCACGCTCCGGCTCTATTACTATGGTGCGACCTTTTGTCTGTACAATCGAAAAATTTACCTCAAAATATGTATAAATATTGTTTACAAACAAACGTTTTCAACAATGGCGAAGGCATCTTTCAAAATGGCGCTGTCGTAGCTTCGTCCCAAGACATAAAATGCAAAAAGAAAGATATTAATGGTCTCGACTCTAAGTCGTAATACAGTTTCTTTAACGTCACCGAATTAATGCCAATGTCTCTAATGTTTAAATTCGTAGTAAGAGGGAATATGCACATTTTTGGAAAATGTTTTTATATGATAATTTACATCGATATATAACTGTAAAATAATACCCGGCACCGAAAAACTTAAATTTTGTAACATTAATAATTGATGAAAATCAGTAACAGCTACGAGCAGTTTAAACACCGGAATTTTTGGCGCGCTCGTCGTGACGTCAAAGTACACGACTAGAGATATGACATTTCAAATCAATATGGATTTTGAGTTATTAATTATTATTCAATTACGCAAATCAATTAACAACTAATCGTTTTTTTAAAGTATAATAGACTTTTTTAATAAATCATATAATTTACCAAATTGGTGAAATAAAAATAAAAGCCTAAAACATCATTTAAATTGTAATCAGTTGTTTATTTTGCGACATAATACATTGATGTTATTGCATCGATGTTAACTTTTTGTAACAACGACATCCCTATACGTGTACATTTTCGTCACATCCGCTCTGACAAGTAGCATGGCGTTTAAATATTTTGAAGTTACCGCATTTATTTTGCACTTTTTAATAATTATTTTCAAGACGAAAACGAACTAATATTGAAAAATATTTAGATATACTTTATTATAAAGCAATAACGATTGTATAAAATATATTTAACCCTTTTTTTGAATCAGACGCATATTCCCTATTCTCTTTGCACCATGTTCTGTAATTAGCAAGATTATCTTTTTTTATTTGCTATCAACGTGGTGGACGTACGCAGTCAGGGGAAAAGTTGACGTCATGTCATGCTAAATTTTGATTTAGGTTTCGCGCATACAGCCTAATATCTTAATAATAAAAGATAATAAAAAAACTGTGTCTCCCTATATGTTTATATATTTTTATTTATTTATTTGGTTAAATGCTATATTTATAAAATATTTCTGTTTATTTTACTGTAATTATGGTTTTATATGTACTTCTTTATTTATTTACACGTCACCCTGATTGACCCAACTGTCACCTATTTATTTATCTTCCTCTCCATTTTTGTTGTTTGTAGTATGTTTTTTTTCTTGTATTATTTTTTTATTGTATATGTACTTAGTTTGTGGGTCATTAACTTAGTTTCTTTCTAATGACACATGTTATAATCAATTTAATGTTTCTTGTTTTGTGTTTATTTGACTGGGCTATATGAAAGCAACGCTACGAAAGCGCCATCTGTTATTGGCTTTGACCAACCACTCCTATTGGGCAATCACTCATATTAATACCTTGATGTATGCGTTGAAGTGGTTACAGAGCTCATTGAGGCCGTCCTTCACACGACTGAACAGACTGTATAGAGTACTGAGGTCAGACAAGCGAGGTCCATCCATTAGAGTTTTCAAGCCTTTGCTCAATATACCACTGAGGTGTTCGCTAAGCAACTGACGTTCCACGGTGTGAATTAATTGCCATCTGTCAAGAAATAATATAATATATTAGTTTATTGCTTTACAAGTGTTGTCCAGATTGGTTTTTAAATTGATTATAATATCAACTGTTTTATATTAAAGGTATGAGTACCTTTACAAATAGTATAATTGCATACAATATGCGAATGCAATAAACTTTTGTATAAACTAACTAAAAAAAGTCTCCAGTTTTCTCTATGTCCACAAATTGGAGTACTAGATATTATATATATTCTAATAAGATGACCAGTAATAAATGCGATCTGTGCCCAAATTCAAGTAGTCACTAGAGCACCAGAATTGGTCGAACAGACAAGTGTTATTATAACGTAAAAATTTAATTAGTGTCAACTGGTTGTTTCATATCCGTGAGCTGGGATATGAAACAACCAGTTGAAGTTCAATTCTCATTTGCGTAAAACTAGAAAATACAAGCATATTCTAGGTAGGTTTTAGTCAGTCTGTCGTAGGTTAAGCTACCAAATGTTCATATGATAGTAATCTTTATGTAATACTTTGTAGAGTGGTCTAGATAATGCAGCAGTCGTTCGTTCTCTTCACGTAAACGTTTCTCGACATGGGCCAAGTATTGAGGCACGGGCAGCTCGCGCATTAGCCGCTGGCCTTCCGCCGCATACAGACGCTCAGTCGCCAATAGAAACCTGACAAAAAATATAATTAATTGTGTTAAACTAATAAAACATATATATAATTATCATCCAACATAATTAGTATTCATCTTTCTTGTCTAACGGTCAGTTGCACAAAAATGTCAAATTTATATAGCTAACGTCGCTTTAAACTAATGAAAATTTTAATCGACGTTTGTGCAACTGGCTGAATGTTGAATAACAAAAACAATTGAAAGTCAATATTCAAATGTTTTACATTTTTTAAAAGAAGAACATCATAGAAACCATATGAAAAAAGTTTCTGTCAAAAACCTCAAACCATGAAGATTCTATGTCAATGCAAGGAACCTTTTAAGATATATGAAGCATAGCCACGTTTTGTTTAAACTTACTTCTGTTCAAATGCATCCTGGTAGATTTGTAGATCAGAGAGCATTCTTAATAAACTTTTCAACAGTGAAATATCAACAGCGTCGCCTCCTCGCTCCTTCTCAATCAATAACAATAGACCATCCACAGTGCGGGTCTGAACAAGAGTGTTCATCGCTATGTGGTGTCGGAATAGATCCAGACCCATATCCCTGTCAATCACAACAATCTTTAAAGATGACTATTGAGGTATTATAGTAAATTAATGTTATTATTATTCATGTATCCAAGTAGTTGAAGAGACACATCCAAGTAGTTGAACAAATAAATCATAATTTATACTTATATGTTTATAAATTCAAATTCCATAAAATTACTGAGAGCTTTAATTTATAGTGTTAATCTTTCAAATCATAACTTCAGGATTCTTTTAAAATAGTTTCCTATATTTTATTTATAATCATCACTATTTATTTATTTACACATATGCGGGTTATCAGAAACAAAATTCCAACACACAAGTAAGACAATAAGATCTCTATTTAAATAAACTTACTTAAAGTATTTTTGAATCATTTTATAATAATAGCTAGATAATTATTAATGGGAACTCACCAAATGGAGTGTATACTAGGATTTTGGAGTACATAAGTACGATCTAGGTATAGGAAGATGCTACGTATCATAATCATTTGGCGGCAGTGAGCACGCCAGCAGTCATCCATCCGCTTGAGGAAAACTTGCCGGTCCATGCTTTCTGACAGGAATTGTTCTATATTGGCCTTTACATGGGCTTCCACTAGATTTGTTAGGTTCACATATAATTGAGATGCCATCTATAAAGATTCCAATAATAGCTTTTAGGATTATGTTTGTATGTATAATTTGATTTATCCATAGTATATAAACAGTTACATCACTTCCTTGACCTTTCTAATAAATATTTATTTTATGCATTACTAATAAATATGTGATTTCACTATACTAATAGAAATTTAAAGTTAATTTCCAAAATTTGCTTGTTTCTCTAGAATAGTTAACACTAAAGTAACAGATAATTAACTCTCTTCAAAGGTAGAGATTAAGCAGATATGACTTTATTCTTTAGATAGGCCAAATTATTATTCATAATAGTTGTTATAATGTCAATTTAATTATTAGAATTGTTGTCAGGTTGAATGCCTAAATATTGATGGAATTGGTCATGGTAAAACAGTTAATAATAAATACTTGAGAAATTTGAAGGTCTCAGGTAAGTCAAATTAAGTAATGGTCTTCTATATTATAATTGTGAAACATCCTATATTATACAGCAGTTTGAAACCCTTTGAAGTTATAATATTTTTTCTGAGATACAGACATCAAGTTTTATTCAAGATATTTTTTTAATATGATAACTTTGTATGCAGCAAGAGCCAGAAAACTTTTTTACTTGCAAATTTTGAAGTTAACACAGCTTCAATTATCTGAACAAAATATTTTTAAGTTATAAAAATCACACTCATATGCACTAATTTAGACTAATGTGTAGCCTAACTAAGGAATGCCTAATCTGAAGAATCTCCTAAGCATATTCAAAAATTATTTTTAACCCTTAATCCATCATTGATATATCATGTTATGTGAAAGTCTAGCATAAGGTACTGAATAATGCAAGTCATATTTTAAGGAATGACTTAAAATTGTTAGGTGAGTTCTAATCATTAGTGACATCTTTTTATTTTTTAAACATAGTCAATTCTCATTTAAGCCTCATATTTAGGTAGACTCTCATGAAAATAGGCATTATGTGAAATTAATTACACAAATAACAAAATAATATTTTCTTGTTTAGGTTTACTGTTTACTTTAATTTGAGAAACTTAAAAGGGAATATGTGAAAAGAATTACACATATCCCCATTTACCCTTAAGTTTTTCTAAAATATTTACTATTTTTAAGTCAATCCCAGAAATATCAACAAATCAATGGGAGTAATTTATTTTTAGTAGCATTTTTCTACCTTGTGACTACACATATTTTCTACTGCCTGGTAAAGTTCTTCTAGGGAATAGGCAATGGCCTTCGACGTTTGGATTGCAATAACGGCCTCCCGCAATTTGCTCCATGTCGTTTCTTGATAATTTTCTGGAAGATTCGGTTTGCCTGTAACAAGCAAATACCGAATTACTCTTCGAATGACATTTAGGTTAGGTGTAAGATGACGACGAATTAATCGTAAACATACTCTTGAAATTCTTTATCACCAGCTTTTTGGCTGATGCACCAGGTTTAGTCATCATCATAACAGTTCCATTAGAGTTTGGAGTTAACATTGAGAAATTAGATTTCTTTTCATTGGCACTCATTTCGTCGGATTTAGATCTTTTATTATTGCACTGATCGTTCGTAAGAAGAGAACGTTTTCTACACTGATTTCCACCCTCCTCAACAGACACTGCAGTTTTAGCTACACCCGACATAAGCAAGCATGATATGGCCGCAGCCACTGCATTAAATATATAATGAACACTTATTTAATTACAAAATACACATAAAAATAGAAGTAATCAGTCGTCGATGTTCGCTTTTAGACACCACCATTACGATTCCGATACGAAGCTTGCCGAAACTTCTTTTTTTTCTTAGCAGCCAGATGTCGTTTATGTCAGTTATCTGTCAAATAGAGGTGAGGCGTATTTACTAGATCAGATCCGTGTATCACTTATTTTACAATACTAGGTACGCAACACCTACTCCAAATAATTAAATACTTTATCCACCTAATATTTCTCTAAATAACACGACTTTCGACTCTCCATAATACTAGAGATCATATTAGCATTTTTTACTTTAATACTAGGTACATGGGTAGGTATTTAGGTAAGTGCTAGATAATAATATTCAATTTAGGTCTTAATCGTTTGTTGATAATGGGTTCCCAATAAACATAAATATTATATTAACTAACACGTCTAGTGATATTTCAAAACGTTGCTAATTTGTTACTTATTTCGTATCGTGTATTTAATATTTAAAATAAAACCAGGATTAAATTGCGAAGCTAATAAATATTTTAAAAAAGTGACCCCTACGCGATTCGGATCCTATAATGACGGTTTGCTACAATACCTCAATGCGATTTGGACCGTACAATGACGTTTTCAACGTGACGGTACAAGCTACGTTTCGTTTTATCTATGAAATATTCTATCGTCATAAGATTAAATTTACTTTCACATTTACGAGTCAAATTATAAAAATCTTTTATTTTATTGCAGCTTCATGATTTTCTCAAGTTTTGTCAGTTCATATAACCTGAAAACATTATTTAGAAATCACGAACCTACCTGACCTTCAGATGAAAATATGTTTAGATTTTATTTTATTATAACGCGATTAAAAAAAACATGTGACAAGTCAATTGATGTATGGAAAGTGGACATGATTATTTATTATATATGCTAATTTTAATGCCAATAAACAAGACAAGGTGGATTATGTACTTGAAACGAGTATTAAATAATACTAGGAAAAGTACATCCAGTACCTTATAGGTGAGTAAGGTAGAGTGGAAATATTTTCTATGGTTATATAAATATCATGCAATCTGAAGTTGACATCAGAAACATCATGTTGTCTTTTTTTAACTAATAAGAAGTTTCTTTAGTAAACAAAGATAACACTAGTGTGACAGTTCAAAATTTTTTACGTGACGTCATGAGATATAGCTATCGTACCACCTGTCAGCCATTTGCAAATTTGCTTTGCGTATTCTCGGAAGTAGTTCAGCTGTCAGTGTTATAAGTTTTGTGGTTATTTTCATTTATAACTTTAATTTATATAACTTTCATGGCAGAAAATTGTAAACTATTTATGCAAAACAATGCCTAGGTGCTGTATAATTGGTTGTGCGTCATCAATATCCCGCAAACCGAGCAATATTACGTTTCACCGGTAAGTTAAACACTTTCTTGGAATAACAGTATTTAAAACGTAAGTAAGTTATTTTGAAAATGATTGCGTGTATAAATCGATACATATCGTATTTTGGCGTGTTCTATTTATGCTATATTGCTCTTTTCGTTTATATTTTTATAATATTTCGGTCCGTAAATAATATTGTTTACATGGCTAGTGTCGTTACTTTAACATATGGTTTATATCGATAATTTTAATATTTAAAAATATATTAATTATTTTAGATTACCAAAAGATGAAACAAAAGAGGAAAATGGCCGAGTTACATAGAAGCAGAAAATATTAAATGTAATGAAAAAGTTACTTTTATCTGCTCACTTCATTTTACGGAAAGTTGTTTGAATCGAACTTTAAATATAATAAAATTACGAGATGATGCATTGCCAATCAAATACTCTGGTAAGAATTTTTGACAATTGCTTTTAACTTATTTAAAAAAAAATGTCTATTACACTTATTTAATTTTCATTTGATTTTACTGATTTATTTATTTAGTTTTTTATATAGTCATTTTGTTATTCTATAAATGTACCTTATTTTTAGTCTTGCGGTCATATGACGACTATTTTAATTGAAAAAAATCAGAATGCAATATGTAATAATATTAAAATATAAAATTCTGATCATAATATACTCCCAGTAAAATATGTAAATAATTTTAAAATGAGTTAAATAATTTTAATAAAAATTAAAATATGCACACTTATCAAATTAAAGGCATAGTTAAAGGTTTTCTTTGCTGTTCAATAGTATAATCTTAATACCCAAATAATTATTTTGTGGCGTGGATGTTTATTTTGCTGATGCATCATAAAATACGCTACCTTTTTGAATTTAAATTGCTGACCGTTATCATGATTGTTCACAGAACATGAATTGCAGACTGTTTTAGTGCTTATAAAATATTTGTATGCTTGCCTATTGATTAATCGGCTGTTTTCTTCTTGTTAACCAAATTTTTAAATAAAATGCCAATTGTTACTTCTTTAATAATGTTACTGTTATGCCAATTGTTACTTATTCATCACCAACTTTGTTTTCTTTATTTTCTCTTGTTTATTCATCAAAGTTTACAGTATTTTTATGTTCTTTTACCAATAATATAATACAAAGATTATGTAGGTGTTTCAAGTTTTCTATGTTTACTACTAAACAAGATGTTCTGAACTAAAATTGTGACACAGTACGCACGGTATCTCTCTTAATGAGGAGGAAGCGAAATTTATTCAGTCAAAACATTTTATTGAATAAATTTATAGACAAGTTGGCTTACTAGTTACAAGCATATAAGAAAGTCGAAACTCTGTGCTTATAGTTCAGCAATCTATTACGGGAAACCTTGTACCGAGAAAAGAAGAAACTGTAAGAAAGGAACCGGTAAGAAACTGCAAGGGCTGCTTTTGCACCCTGTTTAATTTCGTACTGAAAAATAAAAAATGACTTCATTGGACCAAAATGTCACTTTCCACCAAAACAATAAAAAATATATAACAGACAAAAAAAAGCATAATAATTCATTCGTCAATCGACTCATTAAAAGCTTATTATAGTTACCGTGGTAGTTATCTTGGAGAGTAGTCACACTTCCCGTGGATGCAAAATTAAACTTATGTTAAAAAAACTATTTAATTATAATTGCAAAATGTCAACTTGACAATATATATGGAAATAATTATAAAACACGATTGATATTATTGTAAAACTTTTAAGATATATATTTTGGTACTATAGTTCTTAAAACTATGTAAAATTGGCTATATTAGAGGAAAAAGAAACATATTTATCGAGGTACAATCATATAAAATTATATTATTAAATAATATAAATGTGAAAGTTTGTGAGGATGGATGTTGGTTACTCTCATGTAAAAACTACTGAACGGAGTTTAATGAAATTTGGAATACAAATAATCTTTTACCCGTGGGAAGCGCCATCATACGCTAGTAACATATGTTATATTTACTATAGTGACGCAAGGGAGTCGCAAGAACAAAGAACGCAAGAAATTTTAGATGTCCAACAAAATACGAGCAAAAGATTGCTTAATGATTTGTAAATAATTGATAAATTCACGCCACTTTTAAAAAAATATTATTTTCTTGATACTGGCGTGAATTTTTCAATTTAATTAATAATAATCATAAATAGGATTGGTACGTAAGTGTGAAATGAATAGAAGTGTAATAGGTAATAGTTTAGCCATGCCCCTAACAATGAAAATTATATTATATTATTTAATAAGTAGTAGTAGCAGTTTCACGAAATACTAACTTTTATTTAATATGACTTCAATGTCGATACAAATATCGATATCTTGGGTCACGCCCTATGACAATCCGCCATCGAAGAATTTGCATTTGAAGTTTAGGCATATACGCTTTTTTCGTAGGTATGGCCGGTCCTCTTCTTTTATGTCTATAACATATTTCAATTTCTTCACCTTTTTCTTATTTCTTCTTTTTCAATCATACTATTTTTATATAGAGTAAATTGACTTTATAACTGAGGACTACTATGCAACTTTTTTATCATAGGTAATCGTAATTGTAATGGTTTGCGAGTCTCTTTTACTCGTAGCAAAACTGAAACTTAAGTGTTTTTAATAAAAAGGGGACAGATGGCACGTAATATGTGCAAACATTAACAGCGATATTAATAAACAAGGTTAAACGTCAGAGTAAATTTACGCTAAAATTTCAAATTTAGTATTAGTCCAAATTCATATTTTACGGAGAAATAAGCAAACATACCTTCTTGGAGTAAATATTACTCCCGTCAAACCTCCTACTAGGTATATAAATTTTGACTAATTATAAGTAAATATAAAAAATAATTACTACACAATTAAGGGTAAAAGCTTAATTATTCATAAGCGATCATTACTTTTGATTAGGATTACAGTGAAATTCCGTTAGTGCGTTCTGGATATTTGAGGGTACCTCTGTTACTGATAAATAATTACAAAACCGCCGTAATATTCACTTTCGACCGTCGTGGGATGTGCAGGTAAAAATTACATACAACAAAAAAGCATTTGGGTCATCTTTATGTTCATTGTAGTACCTACTACTACCTAGTTAATGTTGGGTCGACAGATCAGATTTTTATATCCGAAAATTCTGCATTCATATGGAAACAAATCCTTTCTTTTTTATGCAATCATTGTAAAAATTCTCTATTTACGTCGTTTACAGGTGTAGGTCGGGTATATGTAGATAATGAACTTTTCGTATGTTGTCTCGGGTCTAGATGTTGTGGTACTTTCGTTTTACAGATAATCTAATAATACGGGGGCTTTAGCTACTCATCTCGGAATGTGAGCAGTGTATATTGCCTAATATTTATTCATCTATTGCTTGATGCCAGGCTTAGGTTAGAAAAGATATAGAAGCTCAATTTTTATCGCACTTTATGCTTTTAATGGTCCTTTGAATGTTAGCTATATTACTGTAGCCAACCTAACTCCGCCTCGAAGCGGAGAAGCTTTTTAGTATCTTCATGGAGTGTAGATGCCAAGTTATAGATTCCTAAAATATGCTCTGCTGAAGATAGGCAACAAATATTTTGTATGTGACCTTACCAATTAGAAGTTTTATATGGTCAGCTATTCAAATTTTTTGACAGATGCAAATAAGGACCTATAATATTGTGAAACGGCAGTCTTTTTAACGATAGGTTAAAATGCAATGTGATAATGTTTATCTA